AAAAAAAGTGGGGGTCAGGTGCATAGGCCCGGGAAAGTGGGTACCTGCTCTCCGTGCTTAGAGGCTATCTGGTTCAATGCTTACTGCTCTGTCAGTGCACTTGAAAAATCCAATGAAACTGTTAAAATATAAGGCATCTTGACTTGTATTCCTGAAGTAGCTTATTCTGTCATATCAAAATGAAGAGGCTCTAAACATAATGCGGTTTCTGTTATTTCTTATACTTATTTACTCATTTTTATTTTCCTGAGGTAACAATTTATGCCATCTTCTGATTATATTCTATAATAAATGTCTATGGCATACCTAATCTGTGTGCGCCACTCTGCTGGGTACTGCAGAGGATATAAAGATGAATAATCTGGTGTTTGACGTCGGGAGTTTACAGTCCATTATCTATGATAATAGTAACACTTGATAATAAAAATGGTACTTTTTATCTACCTGCTTCAGCATGTTCAATTTACCTTTATCTAAAAATACCATTATTTTTCTTTAAAAGCATAAACGAGGCAGAAGGAGTTATTACAAGGTAACACATTACAGAAGAGAAACCAGGACGATGTTGGCTCTTGATTTGGGGTAATGCTGGTTCCAACAACTCCAAGTTCATACGCTAAAAGTACATAAAGATGGGATAGGAGAATCCAAAATAACTGTTTATCAGAAAGTTGTTCAATACCTGATTTTGGAATTCAATGTTTTTTTTTTTTTCTGGAGATTCCCTTTCTAATTATAGTTTGGTTAGGCAAGTATTGAATTATTTGGCATTTTCAGAGTACATACCAACTAAAACTAGGAAGAAGTGAATCAGACATGTTTACTAGCAAGGGACAACCAGGCTGGTTTAAATTTAAGCTGAGGAAGAATGAAAAAAAAAACCCAAAGAAATGAATAAAAAAAATTTATAAATGTAAGTAAAGTGAATTATGTCATTTTAAATTTGTGGACTAGTCCCAACTTATTATTATAAATACTTATTTAATAATTTGCTTGGCAAATACTTAATGACCCTTACTATATATATGTTAGGTGCTGAGGAAGAAGGAAAAAAAAAGGAAAATTTCTAGTTCAGATGGGAAAGGAATGGAGAAGGCTTCACCGAGGAAGTAAATCCTGCTGAATTTTGAAGGATGAGTAAAGAGCAGACAGGAAATAAAGGTGGGGAAGAAGGATTTCAGACAGAGGAAACAGCATATGCAACGTCAAAAGGGTGTTTAAGAGTGACAGTTTGGGAACTGTCAGTAATTCCTTTGGCAGGAGCAGACACAGAAGGAGACTCAGGTGGGAGGATGAGGGCCAGTCAGCCCAGCCGAGCGTCAGATTCTCCTGCGCACCCCATTCTTGTGCGGTGCCATAGATGGCACTGTTTGCCTGCTTACAAATTAGGACCATACTGTTGTGGTGTTCAAGTTCTCAAATATGCTTTTTTTCTTCTATGGTGTATATTTTTTTCCCTCTTGTTAAGGGCTGGCAAAATAAATAGTGCAGCTTCTGAAATAAAAGAGTCCACTGAGAATCTGAATAACAAATATAATGAATAAATTTCACACACTTGAGACCTTAGGTTTTCCCAGCGAGTTATAATTACATATTTATTTTTGCAAAAACTGGATATGGGGGCAGGAGAAAACTTACAGGGTGTGAGAGAGAAGTGTTCCTTGTCTAGATTATAATGGTGACTTACTGGGTGTGGATGTCAGAACTTACCAAGCTATATATATATATATATACCTTAAATACATATGTTCATTGTATGTGGAGAGTACTCCATTAAAATCGCGAAAAACAGGGCCCGGTGTTTACCCCTTTTATCTTTTTTGCCTTTTATTTACCAACCAAAGGTAATAAAGGTAAAAGGTTTTCAGCAGGGATGTAACAAGATGCTACTTTCCTTTGGTGTGGACTGTGGGAGGTGGGCGTCTGTGAAGCTGAGGTTTGGGGGGGGCTTGAAGTCTGGGGGAGGGGGATGCTTTTTTGTCCAGATGAAAGACAACACGGCGGGAATGAAGAAAACAGCAATGAAACAGAGAGGCATTACTAATTTTTTAAAAAGCTTCTCAGCTGATCCTAATGTGCATGAAGGGTTGAGAAATCAGGGTACCAGAGATGGATGTCAGCAGGTGAAGTTTGCCTACAGTGACAGAGAAGGAGGCAGAAAAGCGAAGTAGACATTTCCAAGGGCCTCCGGGTCAACCAGCAAAGGGCGAGGACCAGAGCTGCACCTGAGCCGCTCCTCCTGGACCACTGCCCCTTCATGAAGGTCATTAAGTTCCCAACCCTGCCAGAGACTGTGTCCCACCTGACCAGGAAGAAACTCAGGAGTTTGGGGTTTGAATGTAATCTTCCTAGGAACGTAATTTTCATGGAGTGCAATTTTCCTACTGAAAACTGTTAGATTTCCTCTGACACCTGCGGACACCTGCAGATCTCAATCCAAGGATCCTCAGAATGTATCTCTTTTGCATAAAACAAGCACAAACTCAAACCACTATAGCTTCCTCCTCAACCTACCAAGTATTCTCTTTCCTTCACTACCAAATTTCTCAAAAGAGGGCTTAATGCATCCTAGTTCCAATCTGTCATCCCCACGGCTCTCTGCCACCTGCCACCTGAACAAGGGCTCAGCCCACCCCCAAGCAGGCCTGGATCGCTCTCAGGGCAAGTTAACCCATCTTACAGTTTCAGCTGTAAAAAAGGGGAAGTCTCTGTTCTTCACCTGTAGTTCCCACCTTGCTCCTGAGTCTAATAAGCATTTCTGTTCTTCTTCTTCTTTTTTTTTTTTGAGACAGAGTCTCACTTTCTTGCTTTCAGTAGAGTGCTGTGGCATCATAGCTCACAGTAACCTCAAATTCTTGGGCTCAAGCGATCCTCTTGCCTCAGCCTCCCAAGTAGCTGGGACTACAGGTGCCAGCCACAACGCCTGGCTATTTTTTTAGAGATGAGGTCTTACTCTGGCTCAGGCTAGTCATGAACGTGTGAGTTCAGGCAATGCACCCCTCGGCCTCCCAAGTTCTAGGATTACAGATGTGAGCCACACACCCTGCCTCTGATAAGCATTTCTGACTGCCCACTGAACTTCTCTTCCTAGGTACCTGCAGGTATTTGAAATTTTAAAATATTCTGTATATTCTTTCAAATGATCAGATTCAGTACACGTTTCTCTACCTAAAACCTATTTTTCTAGTCAGTTACCAGAGTTGGACACCTTGGCGTCATTTTTTTTTTTTTTTTTTTGCAGTTTTTGGCTAGGGCTGGGTTTGAACCCGCCACCTCCAGTATATGGGGCCGGTGCCCTACTCCTTTGAGCCACAGGGGCTGCCCCTTGGAGTCATTTTTGACTCCCTTCTTCCCTCCCCAGATTTTACCTCCAAAATGCCAGTAAAGGCTCCGAACTAAGGGAGCGCGGGCAGGAGCCTGAGCCCATGGACTTGGAGGCCGGATGCGGCCCGAGGACCGCGAGCCCGACCGTTACGTTACCCGTCTCGGATGAGGTAGTACTTCAGGATCTCGTCGATCTTGGCCGTGGGGGTGGCGAAGCAGCTCTCCACCAAGCTCTCCAGGCCGCTCACGTGCACCAGAGGCTCGATGCCGAAGTAGAGGGAGTCGCGCAGCTTGAGGGTGGGCAGAGCTTCTCGGTAAGGCTCCTCAAACTCGCGGTCCTTAAAGATCTCCAGCGTGAATGGGAAGACCCCGCGATTGCGGCCCCTGATTTCCAGCGGCGAGTTGCGAAGGTTGGGCACGTAGCCTTCGGAAATGGTGTACAGGCGTGGGAACTCGCAGGTCACCGGGATCAGCAGTTTGCTGGTTCGGATGATGACGTCCCCGCTGCTCCCCGGGGTCTGCCTGGGTAGGCCGGTGACGAGGTTGCTGGCAATGATCTTGTCATTTACCACCTGAGCCAGGCCGGGGCAAGGAGAGGAAAGAGCTCTTTCAGGTTATTTCTGCAGAGCACCCCACCCCACGTCATCGTTCTCCGGATCTCTGCTCACTGTCAAAGCACATTGGAGATCTGGTTGCCTAAGACTGAAGTCGTGTTTTTTATTTGTTCGTTTTTTCCCCCATTGCCTCTGTTTTATTAGCAAGACACCCCTTAGCTCTGAAGGATTTTGCGTGATTGCATTAACGTACACAGCTATGATTTAATAAAAAAAAAAAAGAATTTTACGTATTACTTCTTGGTCAGCCCACACGTTCCTTTGGAGTTCTACTCATAAAACCTGATCTCTGCAGAATCAGCACATTCAAAGGTCTGGTATTTTAGGAAAAAATAGCTTCCGGATATATATATTCTTTTTTCAAGAGTTTTAGACTTGGTGCTCCTGCAGCAGCTTGACCTTGTGCTGAACTCATCTGCGCTCCGAACCTCAGCTGTGACATTCATGCAGATGATTTTCTGCTCTTCGCCGCCAGCTTCATCGGCTCTCCTGGCACCAGAGAGTAATGCCAACCTATTACGAGGCGTTTCCATTTGATTACCCGCACACACAGCCAGCGCGACTTGCCTAAAGTGGGACCACCTGCTCCTTGAATATCTGCCCCTTGTCTCATCCCAGCTCTAATTAGCTATCTGATTTTCATTTAGTAGGATCTGTAAATAAATGTTCATTTAACCAAATGATCACAAAGGCCCCGCACCGATCTGCACGTAGGGGCGCTTAGCTCTCTCTGTCGCCCACGCTTCTGTCAGGCCAGGGCTTTCTTCACCACAGTCCCTGCCTAACCCCAGTGCTGTGGGAGGAAGCCCGGACCACTCCCCCTAGCATACAAGGCAGCTCTTGGAAACTGTTTGCCTCATCTGCTTTTCCAGTTTCAGTTTCCAGTAGGAATTCCTTGCCAGTCAGGCTGTACTGCCGGTTCATCTCTGCACAGCCCTGAAATTCCCCTGTCGGGGACTTTGCTCGCTTGTTTCCATGTGAAAGGACCTTTCTTCTCTCTGTGCTTATGTAAACCACACACACACATGCACACACACACACACACTCACACACGCTCTTCCACCTGGATCCAAGTCCCACTTTTCTCCTCTGCTCCAGTGTTTGTCCCTTTACTAGGCTTATCATCTGTCTCATTGTTCATGCCTTACTGATATTTTATGTGTTATCATCTCAATACTGCTGTGTAAGTTTCTTTCTCTTTTTTTCTGAGACAGAGTCTCACTTGTTGCCCTTGGTAGAGTGCTGTGCTGTCACAGCTCACAGCAACCTCAAACTCCTGGGCTCAAGCAATTCTCTTGTCTCAGCCTCCCAAGTAGTTGTGACTACAGTCGCCCCCCACAACACCTGGTGATTTTTAGAGATGGGGGGGTCTCACTCTTGCTCAGGCTGGTCTCAAACCTGTGAGCTCAGGCAATCCACCCGGCCTTGGCCTCCCAGAGTGCTCATATTACAGGCGTGAGCCACGGCACCCAGCCCATGCTGTGTAAGTTTCTAAAAGCATTTCATATATCCCCCAGACCCTCCAGCTCAGGGCTGTGTATAGATTTTTGGATGAAAGTATAAATCTTGGCTCAGCGCCTATGGCTCAAGTGGCTAAGGCGCCAGCCACATACACCTAAGGTGGTGGGTTTGAATTCAGCCCAGACCCACCCAACAACAGTGATGGCTGCAACCAAAAAATAGCCTGGTGTTGTGGTGGGCACCTGTGGTGCCAGCTACTTGGGAGGCTGAGGCGGGAGAATCGCTTGAGCCCAGGAGTTGGAGGTTGCTGTGAGCTGTGATGCCACAGCACTCTACCCAGGGGGAAAGCTTGAGGCTCTGTCTCAAAAAAAAAAAGGAAGTATAAATCTTTTGGCTCAACCTGGTTCAATACTTGAACTCATTTGCTATGTCATAAATGACCCATCATTCGTATAAGTTGCTTTCTTCAAATAAAAGAAGTGGTTGAAGGGGATGGAGCCAGCCACCCAGTACCACTTGGACCAATGCAGTCAGGAAAATGTGCAGACTGGAGAGATGGCCTATTCAATGAACAGAAATTGCAGAATTCTTTGTAACTCCCTGTCCTGACAAGTGCCAGGACCAGGGCAGATGTTCAATAACATGCTTGTTAAATGAGTAACAGGAGATGCCTTGAGCTCAGTTGGTTTATGTGTGAATATGCCATCTATGACGCCAACCACACCGCATACCTCTGTGGACTACCTCCCAAATAACTGGCTCCTGGTCATTCCCCCAGTGTCCTCCAGGAGGAACCTACATCCACCACTGTACCACACGTCTTGAGGGAGAAGAGGATGTTGACATGGGTGCCATTGGAGACTCCTCGGCAGGACGTGTTGGTCAGGAAGAGCTCCAGGCCGCCAACCAGCTCCCTGGGGACGCTCACTTCAATGGTGTTCGACTTGCACAACACAGGGACTGTGATAAAAAGGGGCTACTGTTAGAACCAGGGCACCGGGATCGGGAGGAGGTCTTCTGCGAGAAGAAATTTCACCTTCATGTAACCTGAGCTTTTTATTCTATCCTCAGAGAAAACAGCAGGGCTCAAAATAAGCTGGTGAATAAAACCAGTATTCCTAACTCCCGAGACTGTGGTCAAATAATGTTCCTCATATATACAGTTCCCTGAAATAGGAAATATCATGTTCAAGTCTCAATTCAGCAAATATTTGTTTCAAAGTGTGACTAGCATCACTCTATGAACTGAAACACCTAAAGGTTTAACTTTTAAGCACACACAATTTATTAGCAATACAGAAAAAATACTACTTTGATATAGGCTTGAACTTCATAACAGTACTGCTTTGACTTTGCTATTAATTACTGCCCCATAAAACAGGAGTAATAAAAACTGTGCTAGTGCACTCGGGGAAGGCTTCCAAATTGTCCTAGCATTGCCCAGTAAGCCATAAACTCTGACCATAAACTCTCCGTTTTAACTTCATATACAATAAAAAATATTTCCTTAGCATTCCCAAGCTCAACTTCTCTAGACTCTACAAATACCCTATAAAGTATTTTAGGGACACTACTTGGGAAGCTGAGGCAAGAGAATAGCTTAAGCCCAAGAGTTTGAGGTTGCTGTGAGCTGTGACATCACAGCACTCTACCAAGAGTGACATAGTAAGACTCTGTCTGGGAAAAAAAAAAGTATTTTAGGGTCAGAGCACTGTCAGAGTCCAGTATGTGAGCACATATCATAACAATGGTATAAAGTAAAGAAATCAGAAATAAGTGTTCATCGAATATGTGATGAATGAATTAATATTCCGGATGTCAAGAACTACATGTCCAGAAAATAGTTCTCAGAAGGTTGTTAATGCTCACATTATAAGTGTATGTAGAAGAATCCGTTCCCTATGGCTTTCGAGTTAGTTTCACTTAGTTTCAATCCCAATTACTTTTTAGAAAGAGAAGGACTGCATCTTATACTTCAAGAAGGACTGTCTTATACTTCTAAACTGAGCACCAGTTATACAACTACCCCTAGAAATTAGAGGAAAAAACAAAAGGCAAACAGCAAAGGCAAATTAGCTTTTCGGTAGTCTTTTTAAAGAGCTCTTCTCTTTGCGATGGTGCCTGTGGCTCAAGGAGTAGGGGGCCGGCCCCATTAACCAGAGGTGGCAGGCTCAAACCTGACCCTGCCCCAAAACTACAAAAAAAAAAAAAAAAAAGAGCTCTTCTTTTTGGAGTGGTTCTAATCTTGAGTGATGACTCAGGTATACACACTACTCAGATACCTGGCGTTTTAAAAGCTGAGCATTAGGACTCACTTGAGGGAAGAAAGCTGCTCCCAGCTTTCTTTCAGGGAAGAAAGAAAAGTGAGTTAGAGCAGAGAGGAGGCAAGCCCAGCCGCGTACTACCTTGGCAAGTGTGGTTGTCTTCAGACAGCACCAAGCCCCGGGGACATTCGCACTGGTAGCCTTTCTCAGACCCAAGGCACGAATGGCTGCAGCCGCCATTGTTATTGTGGCATCCTTCGATGTCTGGAGTAGGAACCAACAGAAAAGGGAATCATCTTGTGACCCTCCAACAATTCTTGGCACTTCGCATCAAAGATTATGCTTACCTCAGGGCAGTAACCCTGGTGCCTAACCCAGTGACTGAGACAGGTAGGCAAATCCACCAACAATGTTTATTAAACATTATAGCTAGAAAGAGCAATCTTCCAACATCCACAGCTCTACCCAATTAAGCTGGTAAGGTATTTTGTAAAGCGTTCTTCAATTTGGGTTGGTCTGATGTTTTGAGTTTTTAGCAGTAAAACCCAAAAGTCACATCTTAATCGCTGTAACATTTATTCCACCCAATTCAAAATTTTATCGAGCATTATTGATGTAAAAGGGACTGATGGAATACAAACTCAACTAGATGAGCTCGATGGACCAGAGTTGTTATGGACTGGCTGAATCACTGGGCTTTCTCCCCAAATCTCTAGGAACAAGAGCACTGGGGATGAGTCTTGGGCTGATAGCACCCTATAAAAATAAGGGCTGTCCAACATGGTAAGAGAGTCCAGTCCACTGAACTCTTGGTGACATTCCTCCCATGAGGCAACTTTTTAAAGGTTCCTTTTGTAATGTTTTGCATTTTCAAAAAGCATACTCAGTCAAATGGACAAAAAGGAAAAAATATTCAGGTGGAAACTAAAGGAACTACCATGTGATTTCAAACTTAACAGAGGCAAAGTAATGACCTTTATGAGACCTGGACATTGTCTTCTAGGTCAGGTTATCAAATTCTAACATGCTACACATTGTTATAAATAAAGTTTTACTGGCACGCAGCCATGCCCATGGTCATGCCTGTTATCTATGCTGCTTTCTTACTACAAGGGCAGAACCATGCAGTTTCTACTGATTCCTTATGGTCCACAAAACCTAAATTATTTACAATCTGCCTTGGAGAAAAATTTTGCTGATCCCTGCTCTAGGTTAAGTTAAAGGAAGGAAATGTTTTGAAATCATCTGAGATGCTCAGAGAAAGGTATAAGCCGATTTCCAGTGATAGCTATAACTCTCAGTTCAAAAATATTTTTAAGAAGTTTCTTTGCACTATCAGTAAATTAACTTGGGATGAATTAGTTTGTGTGAAATATGCATAGAGAAAAATTTGTAATGAATCAATCTTTGAAAAACTTAGAAGAGAGTAAAGGTCACCTGTTTATAAATCTGTTTATTTAAGGAGAAGAAAAATCACACCTCTGGCCTTTTGAAATACCTGAAAATAATATGTTAACACTGTGGAAGAAAGCATAAAAAAATGTTATGAGATGTTAAAGTCAACATTATTAGGATTTAAAAAAAAATAACCTTCCTTAAGTAATTCTATTTCTCTAAGTCACAATTTCAGTATTTGTAAAATAAAGATGTCACACTAAATATTCACTTGGGATATTTCCAGGTCTAAAACTGCAAAGTATGAAATAAACTGAAAGTCTAAATTATCTTAAAAGATTTAAATCTGTCAGGAAGATATATCCAAATGTTTAGAATGGCTATATCTGACGAATGAGATTGTGGGTCATTTAAATTATCTTTCTTTTACTTCTCTGCATTTTCTTCTATACTCCTATAATAAATCAAAATAATAAAAATTACCTAAAATTAAAGCAAGATGAGTGTTTTGAAATTGTTTTATTTTATTATTATTATTTTTTGAGACAGAGTCTCTGTCACCCTGCGTAGAGTGCTGTGACATCATCATATCTCACAGCAACCTCAAACTCTTGGGTTTGAGCAATCCTCTTGCCTCAGTCTCCTGAGCAGCTGGGACAATAGGGCTTGACAATGCTCAGCTAGTTTTTCTATTTTTAGTAGAGACCAGGGGTGGGGGAAGGTCTTGCTCTTGATCAGGTTGGTCTCTAACTCCTGAGCTAAAGCAGTCCACCTGCCTGGGCCTCCCAGAGTGCTAGGATTATAGGCCTGAGCCACTGAACCTGGCCTAGAACTGTTTATTATTTTTTTAAAAGAATATATAATTATCTAATAGTCTACCTAAAGAAATATGGATGTTTGTATTATCAATGAAACTTAATGGTTATAAATAGAACTATTAATCCTAAAGTGTAACTCATATAATTTTAATCTTCTGCTAAAATATTTTTTTCAGTTATGGTTATTAGGTTTTAAGACTAGATGAGGATTAATTGTTTCCAATAAAGTGCTAATGAATAATTCTAAATGTTTCTCATAATTTAAAGAGGGTTTAGGATATTACTCTTATTCAATAAAGGTTAAAATACATTAAGTCTTATTATAAGGGAGTGTAGGTTAGTATTCTGGTTAATGGTCCCTTAGTTAATAATGCAAAGTTTGTTGCATGAAATAAATTGTGGATACTAGCCATGATTTTCCCTTTTGGGGAAGTATTTTATAATTTTGACTATAACTAGAGTAAAGTAAACCTTATAAGCTGTGCTATAGCTCCATTATTCCACAAATTTATTTATCCTAAGGAACAGATCATATGTCCTCTGAAAATAACAATGATAAGTCATTTATCTCTCCAAATAATCTGCAAAGAGTATTGTAAGAGTTTAGACTTACTAAAGTGGAAGTGATGACATTTTAGTTGTGATATTTTGCAAGGGTAAATGTGCCTTAGAGAAAAGACATTATCTAAGTTTCATATAATAATAGGAGACAATGTCCATTTCAATTATTTGATAGACCCTATGAATTCTTTGTTGTCATATGAAATGTATAAAGCATCCCTTCTACTAAAAATAGATGATTTTGTTTATCTCAAAAAAAATGTCTTAATCTCTGATAAATACAAAGCACAGGAAGAGAAGGGGAAATGGCTTCATGTAAACCACTTTCCCAGATTTCCAACATGGGAAGAGTCGCCTACGAAACTTGTTAAAAACAGAAACTCTGAGGCCCCATCCTAGCCCCTGTGAAGCTTAGTCTGCAGGAGAGAGGCCTGACAGGGGCAGGGTCAGCCCCCAGGGATGGTCAGCAGCAGGGGAGTTTGAGAAACACTGCTGTAACTGGTTGTTGCCTACCTGTCTTACCTAGCCAGTCCAGGTGTGCTCCTTGGACTGGCAGCGTAGGTGTCATCTAGAAGTTATTTAGAAATGTGGTATCTTTTTATTTATTTATTTATTGCAGTTTTTGGCTGGGGCTGGGTTTGAACCCGCCACCTCTGGTATATGGGGCTGGTGCCCTATTCCTTTGAGCCACAGGTGCTGCCCTACTCATTTTCTTTTTAATTAAATTACAGCTGTGTACATTAATGCAATCATGGGCTACAGTGTGGTGTTTTCATACACAATTTGAAATATTTTCATCAAACTGGTTAACATAGACTTTATGTCAATTTTCTTAGTTATTGTGTTAAGATGTTTATACTCTACTTTTAGAAAGATTCACTTGTACCCTTGTAAGACAAACCATAGAGGTGATCCCTCC